GATGAAATACTTTTGTTTTGTTGATCTTTTAGGTTAACTAGGATGTTGATATTGATTTCTAAAAGAGCCAAGAATATTCCCCACTTGCGTGAGATTCCTGAAGAATGACTGCAATAAACAGAAAGCTTCTTGAGTGGAATGACGTGTTTGCTGCATCAGTGCCGTGTGTGTGTGTGTGTGTTAGTTTTGTGTGTGTGTGTTTGCTGGCTCTGTTGATGATTTGTTATACACTGTAGATTTGTGAGAAAGCTACCCCTTTGGTCCAAGTATACGATCAATGAAAATGTGTGTGCTTGGGTCCCATCTATTTTTCAACCTCTCACTCGTTACATCTCCTCGAGCCTGTCTGCTCCTGGCTACAGTCTGTCTTCCTTCCCATCTGACGCTGGAGCATATCATTACAAAATGTGCCCGACTGCATTTACTTTTCTCTCATTCACTCTATTTTTTTCTTGTTTCAGTCTTTTTCTCTTTCATATTTTGTTTTCCAGTATTCCACCTTCACTACCTCCGTTGCAGTACTACAGTCTGTGTTGTATTCCTTTTTAACTGCACGTAAAACAGAAAGATAATCCTCCTCACGTCCTACAGTCCCACTGCACGTAAAACAGAAAGATAATCCTCCTCATGTCCAGCACGTCCTACAGTCCCACTGTGTCTGTGTTCCAAATTTGTGAGGGAGTGTTTGCTTGATGTTTTCTAAGAATAACACATCTGTTGCAACTACACTGAATGATAGTGATGATACTTAAAAGCAGCTCTGTATAGTGAACATAACAATATTATTGATTTATTGCTACTATTGTCACAGGGGTGATATAGAGAGATTTCATTATACACAAACATTCCCTTGTGATGCCAGGTCAGTTTAATAGCCCTCAAAATCTGTTCTGTAACATCTCTAACACCGGTGATGACAGCTTTTGTAGATAAGGGTCAGAGAGAAGATTTAGACAGTGATGTTTTGTGTTTCAAGTGTGGCTGTATGGATGGCAGTATTAATCAGTCACTGTCGATGCCAAAGTATCTTAATAATTGTTGTAAGGATGGCTGTAAAAGTTTGTACAAACACCCATGATTCATGACAGTGAATCCTAATGACCTACTTGATCTCCTGACTTTTGCTCTACTTCCATCATGAGGATAATATTTTTGATTTTGTGTTGGATGGATTGCTATGGAGGTTTGGACACACATTCATGTCCCCTAAAGGATGAATCTTAAGGGATTGGGATGCCTTAAAATACATATTGAATCAGACCAAACTTTCAGCGGTGCTGCTTCTCTTTTTCTGGTGGAAAACTCCATTGCAGCTCCATGGTAAATAAGAGCACATACACTTTCACCATTTAGTAGCAAAGCTTTCAGTGAATAGCCCCCTTACTGTGCATTGAGACAGAGCGCGAGGCAAAGTTTAAAGGTGGCATAAGTGCATACAAAATCAATAGATATTATTAGATTCAAATATAGTCAGGGCTTTATGAATTTTCTTAATGAAAGTAAAAGCAAGAGGGGCTGGAGGAAAATAACTATAAAAAACATATACTACATAACCTTTGTAATATTTTAAACCTGTGTGCTTGCATGCAGTAGATGGGTTCAGACGCATTTATTGTATCTGCAGCCGTATTACATCAAGTGCTATGTCCTTGGAGTCATCCTGGTTTAAATAATGATTTTTTTTATTGGTGCCCTAAAGCTTATTTTATGAAAAGGAAAACTGAACTCTCTTTATTCCATTTACTTTGCAGAAAAATAATGTGTCCCTGACAGATGTTGTACATGACCGCTGACTTAATGAGGAAGCACATGACCTGTACAGCACAACCCAGTGCAACATCCTCCAGTCACTGAAAAACATTAGTTAGAAAGCCACTGAAGAGTCACGTGAATGCACCAATCAGGCAGCTTTCCATTGGTGCAGAGCGTCCAAGAGTGAAATTAAGCAGGTGAAAAATAAGATCACAATAAATAAAAACACAGCTAAAAAAATTTTGACAGCGTAAAAATAGTTTAATTTGTATAAGTCATATAGGTCAGAATAAAACCATAGTGAAATTAAAAACTTTACTAATTTACAATATTATGGTCGGACTTCAAGTCATTGAGCTATTCAACTGTGTAATTGATCTAGGATAGAAAGTATTAAAGTATTCTTTAATATATGTGTCCATATTTTTTTTAATCCTTCTTTAGCGTCTCCCAGAGGGCACATATGTAAACAAATGGTGGCCAGGATGGAAGTCTTTTGTGATAAGTGCTCTTTTCCTACATTTAACATAGTAGGCATTTTCCAGAGTAGGAAGTTGGAACATCTATCATTTTCTCAGCTGCCCTGATGATGTTATGTAAGGGTCTTTTGTCCACGGCTGTGCAGCTGCCATACCAAGCTATAATTGTGTAGGTAAGCATTCACTGCTTTTAACTGTATTAGCACACAGTGATAAGGCAACCTTGGGGAAAAAAGCTAATGTGATTTAATTGTTCATTGTAATGGATTTGCTTTCCACCAGCAAAGCTCTGCATATTGATCTTTACAGTGTGTACTGAAATAGAAGGACACTAAGAGAAGCTGGGAAGCTAGCCTGCCAAAGAGTACAAAGCTCTAATATGTAACGCTTAGGCAAAACACCGGTAACAAACAGATTTATTGGTTATAAATCTAATGTGAGCTCAACCTGAACTCACGTTTCTGTAGCATGTAGTATATTATAGATCAGCTGGGTGGGCTACAGGTCAAGTGCTTTGATTTCAGACTAATTACATCTCAATCACTTTCAGAAACCAAATATAATCAAGTTAGATAATTGACAGACTGAGGCTCTCTATCCTTGGAGCTGCTTTTCTTATTTAACACCTTTTGAAGGCATTCAGTCTCTATAAGGATTGAGGAAACACTTGTGTGGTGTAGTGGCAAGCACACAGCGTTTCTGGTTCATTATCGCTTCAGCAGACCTTTTTGATTGGTCTGAGGCACGCTTCATTCCCAGAAAGCCCAGCCTTGACAGCCCTAGTGGTAACAGGGGATCTAATTAGCAAATTAGCACTTTATTGGTTTCACTTTTTTTTATGTGTATTTGGAGTCAACTTTTCAACTTCTAGGCATGTTACTGTATGAATGTTAAGCAGGGTTTTTGCTTCCCTCGACTGATAAAGATTAAAGAGTTAACTTAGAAAACTGAATGTGAGAATGACAGAGCAATGTATTTTTCCCTACTGTCCACTGCTTTGGCTTTGACCCTTCTACTTCTTATACTGGCTGCTCGTGACGGTGCCACGTCGTAATAATAGTGCAGGTCCAAGTTAGTTGCCCTGGGGGATCTCAGTTGTACTTTATTATTCAGTTTCACTGTTGTCTTCAACAGCTGACTGAAAAAAGAGGACTGCAGGAAGAGAGAGTGGCAAAGCAGGAGAGGGAATCAGTATACGGTAGGAATGTAATGAGTTTTGTAATTTAGCGATTTCAAAGTCGAAACATTTCTTAATAGTATCATGGAACTATGGCAGTTTCTACCAGGATGTTACATATGGTTATTTCAGGTTGCAGAATTTGAAACGAACATAGTTTAGAGCTGCTGTGTGGCAGCATTCCCCCCATTTCAAGAAATGAACACACAATGAAGTGAATGTATGTGAGAGATTGTTAGGGTGTTGAAAATACCATTTAGGTTCAGCATGGTTTTAATTGTATAAAATATCCACCTGAAAACAAACTGATAAAACAAAAATGTAATCATAAATGTTAAATTCATTCATTTGTACAGTTTGGTCAAAAACACAAGGCTCTTCAAGACTATAAAAATCATTGTCTCCACTGCACAAAATATTTGGAGTTTGTTGGCAGGTCCCATGGGTGTTATTATAACCCATCTGTTGCTATGTTTGTGAGTATGATTAAATGATAGTCTACAGTGTACAGTTGTAGTAGCATTAGACACATTTTTACAATGACCAGTGGTCTTGCAGCCACTGAGACTTGGAGGGAAAAAAGCAAAAGTTAAAGCAAGTCTCCTTAAGGAAGAATAAAGATTTAGATGATATAGATTTACACACATTTCAAGTTTATATTTTGAAATCTATGTGAAGTGTAAATATGTTATGGGTGTTGTTTTACAGACACAACTTGAAAGTGTCAAATTAACTGGGTACCAGACAAACTCAGCATAAAGAGACAATAAAGTGTGTGTTGTTGTGATGTGATGGATTATTTCTTCTCAGACATTTCCATTTCACTGAGTGAAAAACTGAACTCAGGGGATAATGAAGTAAAAATAAAACCATCACTATGATAAAACTAAATAAATGCTTCATGTTTACTGTGATGGATTACCTTTGCCTGTGGAGGCTGTTTATTGTACTCGGCAAGAATGGATGGCTGCAAATGGCTTCTTTTGAAGGGACGAAAATTAGTTGTAAATGTTAAGGACCAGGGCAGTTTACAGTATTGGAACAACAGTACGACACAGGCAAGAGCCTGATTCATTTTACTTATACAGCCAATACAATTTTTCACCCAGTAGCTGAAGTCAATACTTTAATGTCCAAACTTTCTCTCAAGCACAGAGCTGAAAACAGATTCGGGTACATTACATTTTTCTATTTGGTCTGATCTGCTGCTCCAAGTCATCGGAATGAAATGCTAATTAGCAGTAGACTGGTTGTAAATTTGAAGATATAAACATTGGTAATGTGACTTTCACCAAACAATTTAGATGTTTGCTCCAGCATTTATGGAGAAGAGCTCTTGCGAACATACAGTCGGAGTGCTATTTCAGGAGATGCTCCTATGTATGAGTCATATGAAAGGGAAGGGACAAATGATCATATGGGTCATATAAGTTGGAGGACTTGTAGTGACAGTGACATACCACTCCCACCAATCTAGGAGCTCAGTCCTGCTGTATATTAGCTGACCAGAGGTGGTGAGCCTGTCTGTGAAAGACTGTGAGTCTACAAGGTTAGCCACATGATAATCTAATCTAATGTTATTTCTGTCTCAGGCTACAGCAGCTCAAGTCAGATGTTGTACATCTCAAGTTTGAAGAAAGAAACAAGAGACTAAAACAACTCGTCCAAAGGGGTTTGTTCCATATGAAGATCAAAACAGCTTTCAGTAAGGATGTGTGCATCAGGACACACACATGCCCTCTGCTTTTGAGATCAAATTTGCTTCAGTTGTTCAGCAATATCAATTTTATAAACCGTGTTCTAACACACATGAGCGCTCCTGCTCTCAGGCGGTCCGATGTCATACAGTAACACTGGCCCTCAGATGTATGTTAAGGGCTGGATTCACACAGGAAACATCTGGATTTGTGGCACCATCTGTCCCTGAGCAGAAAAACTCCCATATGAGGGCATGTGCACACACACACACACACACACACACACACACAGGCAGACACACAGTATGTGCATTCAACTCACAATCCCTCCTCGCACGCACACGCAATCAGATATCCTAATTATCCCCCCTGCAGCAGATGCTTGATTTTCCCCCTCTTCCTCCATCTTTTTCACCCCTGTCTCATCTTGGCTTCTTGGTTTTTCACTGTATCTGATAGTCA